GCCTAAATGGGCCTAATGGGATCTTAGTAATCAAATATGGCATCGTGTGTATATTTTCCATATTACGGTGGGAACACTTTGTAGCCAGCCTGGCTTCCCTCCTGTTCCTGTTAGAATTCTGTTCTTAGAATAAATTTACATCCGTCCCCTGGTGCCAGGGTTCAGGTTGTCTTGCACTTTTCATTATAAGCCATGTTTACCGAAGGTTTACAACTTGGCTGTAAAAACCAGCTGGCACCGAAACTGGAAACTTGGCATGAACAAATTGGCATAAACATTGCCCGGAAGCAGTTTTTCTATCTAAATCTGAGGAAAACAGACTAGGTCATTTTCAAGTTATCTGTGTTCTTCACGCATAAATAAAAGGAAGCCCGACAGCCCCGAACGGTTGTTTGGTTTTGAGCTCTTCAAAAATAGATCGGATCCAAGAAAAGTAACATTTGGTAAACAAATACTCCACGAGGACTGTAAAAAATGAAGGGGGAGAAAAGTGGAGTGCAGTGCATTACATAGAAAGGGAAGATGGAAGCGTTTCAAAAGTTACTTTGTGTCAGAAAGGAAGAGTCGGGAAAGGTATTATTAGGTGATTATGTGGTTTCTAGAGGCAAATTTAGAGATTCTCCTGGACTCTAAATTAATAGTGTAAACAAGAAGAAAACAAGCTTTCAAATAAAGAATTTTTTTTTAATTAAAAAAAAAGATTTTTTTTTTTGAAATCTGAAGCACACTTCATCTAAACACACAGGTAACTAAATATATGATGTTCAGGCAAAGAAGAGCCAAGTGATTTCTAAATATATTTTCTAACACACTAGGCTTGGCCTGTAAAAAAAAAATGTTAAAAAATTGGGAGAAGTAAAAACAATAAAATGTAAATGATATATTAAAACACGTTAGTTAAAAAAATAGTATCAATGTCTGAAGCCCCTTTCCCCTCATCTATGCATCGAATTAAGTTTAGAAAAAGGCAATTTGTGGGTCTGAATCCAGCAGCCAGTAGCAGCTCTCTAAAGAGGGAAAGTGATGGTGCCCACCGCTCCCCAAAGAATGCCTTTTTGGCAAATTTAAAAGTCAGCCTTGACGTCAAGTGACTCCTGAGAAGGTTCCGCACTGAGTTCTGTGAAGAGTGGGCAGATTGGACTTTCACTCTCGCAACTCCGTCGGGGGATGACTACAGAGACAGTTTAGGGCAAAATAAAACCAAGCCAATTCAAACAGAGAGTAAAAATAAGTCAGAGAGGAAAGAATGTGGAGGATGCGCCAGGCTCGGCGGGCTGCGTTCTGTAACAGGCGCCCTTCGGGGAGGGAGTTTCATGGGCTTGCTTTTTATTGATGTTCCTTCCTAACTGCTTGTTAGCAGCAGTTAGATCCATATGGTTGTTCTTGGCAGAATTTATCTTGTCCTCTATTCGTAAAGTGTTGTTTCACCAAACTATAGGCAGAGTCATAGAATCCTCTCATTGGAGAGTGGAAGAATTTTCCACCTGCGGATTTCACCTGAATGACACCCTTAGGTCATTACCTGGCTCTTAGAATCAGCATGGTTTAATCCACATGGAATTTCAAGCTAACAATTATCTTGGGACACATCTCAAAGCCATCATCTCCCCAGAACCACTCCCAGATCCACGGTGTTGATTCTAGGGTGGACGTCCCCAGTGTTTCCTCCTTCAGAGAAAGCTACAAAGTCACTTGTTTATATCAAGATTGTTCCATATGGGTTCGGTGCTTCACGCCTGTAATCCCAATGCTTTGGGAGGCTGAGGTGGGTGGATCATCTGAGGTCAAGATTTTAAGACCAGCCTGGCCAGCATGGTGAAAACCCATCTCTGCTAAAAATACAAAAGTTAGCCAGGCATGGCGGTGCATGCCTGTAATCCCAGCTACTCAGGAGGCTGAGACAGAATTGCTGGAACCCGGGAGTCGAAGGTTGAAGTGAGTAGAGATCGCGACAGCCTGGACAACAGATCAAGACTCCATTTCAAAAAAAAAAAAATAAGAAAAAGATTGCTCCTATAGCATGCCATGCCATTGAGGGTGCCAACTTGCCACATACTTCCCAGATACATTTTTCCACCATAGAGGGTTCACTTCCACATGGATAAACTATGAATAAACACATGCAATGACTCCATTGAGATTATTCTTTACAGATGAAGAAATTAAAGACCTAGAGGACGTTATCTGGGCTCCGCAGACTAGAGACAAACAACCCGGCAACGAACAGGCCTCATAGAAACCAGATCGGAAGCCCCTCCGCATTTCTGCAAAGTTTGCAGTTACTTCCAACTGTATTCCCTCCAGGTGCACGGTTCACTAATCTCACCAGGTCCATAGATTCCTCGAGGGACTGGTATACATCATATTTCTGTATTCTCAGTTCCTGACACTCTCCAGGGCTTCAGCAAAGCACTGATGCTATGATATGGGTAAGTGTTTCTATCTATAAATAGAGAGAGAGGTGTTCTGGTTTTTCTGGTTTTGCTTTCTTTTAACAGACTGGGGGAAAATGTTTGGAGGCTAAAAGGAAAATTGTGCCCATCAGCATAAACGAGTGAGTTGTCTGGACATGCCACATCGTAGATATGAAATGCTGTATCTACAGGGAGCAGGTGCCTGGTGAAGACGGACTGTTTGGACACTATGATCAGAGAGAACTGATGACTCCGAGAACAGCCTGCCCTTCAGCTCAACATTCCACCATGAATAGACCTTGGATTTTTGGGGGGTGGGGGGTGGTTAATGAAGCAATCACATGATTAGTGATGGAAACTCCAGGGAAAGTAAGTGTGGGGAAGAAGCGTAACCTGTGAAAAATCTCCCATCTTTTAGTACTCAGCTTACAACTAGGGGGAAAGTTTTACATTTTAAATCCAACCCCAAGATAGTAAAGTTTATCAAAATCTACAAGGTGAATGGGATCTGCGACCCTTTCCATTCAGACAGATCAGATAGGGCGGGTGCAACTTTCTACTCCGCTCCCCAGAGCTGCTCAATGTGTGGTCCTTGGTCCATTCCTGCTGCATAAATGCGCATTTTTTGTATTCGAACTCAGAGTGTAGGAAGCAGTCACTTTGACAGAGAATCAGGCTGGCCCTGTATCCATGTGAGATTCTGCAGTTCTTTTCTTAAGATTTCTTCATTATTACACAGCACATGTTGGGAAATGAAAGAGAAAGCTAACTGCGTTCTTGGAACTGGCATGAAAATGAAGCAGGGAAGTGGCACAGCAAAAGAGTTTATGTTTCAAAATCAAGGACCTGGGTTCATTTTCTTCCTCTGTACTTGCAGGATTTGTGCAAGATTTTGACCAATTCCTTAACCCACCTGAGCCCCAAGAATCCTTATCATAAAATGACACCACTTCTTCCTGCTTCTGGACAGTGTATGCATTGCCCGGGGTGAGAGGGTTGTGGGGCGGGAGGCAGAAAAAACTGCCTGGGATGTCCTCTTTCTCTTCCGGTGCATGTCTGCCCCGTCAGCGAGCTTGGTGGCCTGGACCTCCAAATGTATCCTGGCTCTGAACTGTGTGATTTCTTTCTCTTCCAAGCCACAGCCCTCTCCATTCTGGACTGCTCCTAGAGCTCTCCTGCTTCCTCCCGGACTCCCCAGCCATCCCCTCCCACGGCACCCGTGGGATCCAACAGCATGACCCTCATCACCTTATCCCTCCGTAAGGCCCTGCTTGGCTTCCTAGTCCTCTTCAGACAAAAAAAACCCATGAACACCCTGCTGGGTTCTGGCCTCCCTCAGCCCTCCCCTCTGCCCATGCCCCGCACATCCTGGCCTTCACCCCTTCACCCTCCCGGAAATACGCCAGGCACCCTCTTGCCCCCTCTGGCCCCAGCTTCCCCAGCTCCCAGCCCTTGCCATGGACCTCCCATTCCCGGCACTCCCAATGCTGACTTCTCATGTAGAATCTCTCCTCTTTGGAGACATGAGATTGAGTCTTGATCTTTCCAAACTGAAGGAGCCTCCACACCTCTCTCCCCGCCAAATGCTTTATCCGTTTCCTCTGTATCACTCACCTGAATGCTGCATTTGTCAGTGCCCCCAGAATGAAGGTGCAGGGCCCCTACCTGAGCCCAGAAGGTGCTCTTCCCGGAAAGTCTGGGAGAGCAGAGGCTCCCGGGGGCCTGTGAAGCCCTCCCACACAGCAGGTGTGACAACCTGCAGTGCCCTCCTGCACCTCGTCCCTGTGCCACACCTGGTGCCATGAAGCTACTGGACAACTATTGGACGGTTGAGCTCATTATTATAAAATAATCAAACTTTTCTACTATAAACATACAGTAATATTCCAGTTTAGACAGAATGAAGAGCATTCAGAGAAACTGAACAATGAGCTCCTGAGATCAACTGTGACTCCCGCGTACGGTTTGGGGTCGGATGACAAGATGTGCACACAAACAAGCGATAGTGAATTGTCAACACTTCGGCAGGTGCTGTGGCTGGACTGCATTTTCACAGCTTTGTAAATTACCTAATTCCTTTTGCATAAGAGCATTAATGATGTGAGGAGGTCGGTTATATTTTCAGTTATACTTTATTGCATTTTAGAGGGAAATTATCTATTATGTTTGAATTTCAAAGTTAGATATTGCCCAAGGTCATGGGATTTGTGCCCCACAGCAGGAAAGGCACACAGTGGAGCCAACTCTTTACTGCCTGTCTGAAGGGCGACTTGGTCTGTTACCTGCTTTTGGTGGTATCCCCAGGCTCACAGCCAGTCTGCCTCACTTTCCCTTATTGCGTGTGTGGCCCATGGACAGAGGGTGAAGACACGGATGTGGAAGTGGTGGAATTTCAGCCTCGAGACACCCTGCAGCAATGCCAGCCAGGGAAAGAGAGTCCAGCCGGGGCTGCAGGGATGACACTCAGGACGTGACCCAGTTTTCCATATCACAAAATACAGGAGGAGAAAGCTGTGCCTGGGGTGGCACCAATTTCCACAGGGCCCAATCTGCTGAACACAGAACGCTTAATTCTTATTTCTTGGAAAAGTTTTGCACTTTTATTGAGTATCTGCTGTGTACATGTACTGGCCACCTGACCAGGTGCTTCATATATGTCCATGTTAACCCTCCCAGTAGTCTACAAGGTATTGTGTTCCCTGAGTGGGTTGGAGAACTCCAGCTCAGATCATAAAGCAGCCCACCCAACAGCTGGTTGGTGGTGATGTCAAGACTCAAACCTGCACCTGTAGATATTTGTGAAAAAGATGATGAAGGGGGTGAAAAAATGATGAACATGTATGCGCTCTGGCTATGAACATACAACACATGAACTGAAGAAGCACCATTGAGATAGAAAGTGGGACTCAACTCCAGAGGTGGGGACTTGGGCTCCGGACCAGTTTGAAGGCTTGCTGAAACAAGGAGGAGGTGAAAGCAGCTCTCCATAAGGCATGCCTATTGGTGCCATGTCAGTTTACCATTGCTATGGCAATGCCTGGAAGTTCATCACCTTTTTCCGTGGCAGCGACCTGATGACCCAAATGTTATTGTTCCTTTTCTAGAAATTTCTGCATAGTTGCCTTTTAATCCCAGCTACTTCAGAGGCTGAGGCAGCATAATTGCTTGAACCCAGGAGGCGGAGATTGCAGTGAGCTGAGATCATGTCACTGCACTCTAACCTGAGCAACGAAGGAAGACTCCATCTCAAAAAAAAAGAAGAAAGAAAGAAAGTATTAATCCACTAATGAGAACAGAGCCATCTTGACCCAATCACTTCTTAAAGGCCCCACTTCTAAATACTGCTCCACTGGGAATTGAATGCCAGCATGAGTTTTGGAGGGACAAGTACTCAAGTCATAGCACCTTCCTGCTGCTTCTCTCACGGAGCCATTCCTTGGCAGGTAGACCAGTCTCATAACTCATGCCTCAGTTTCCTTAGGCTGTTTCTTCTAAGCTCTGATGCTACCCACTTCCTGCTCAGCCTCCAGGCCTCTTACCAAATGTCACAGATGCGAGGACGTCTTTCCTGGGTCCTCCCCTGGAATGGAGACATTAGCCTCCCTTTAGCCTCAAAGCATGTTGCAGCCCTTGGATTCCAGCCCTCATGTTACTCTCACTATCCTGTGGCCACCTTGGCTGTGCAGGCCTTCCTAGCACATGGTGTCAGGAAAAGCGAGCCTGATGCCAAGCCTGCCACTCATAAATGCCATCCCCAAGCTCCCCAAGGCTCTCCCCATCCCTAGTATTACAAGACTTCATTTCAGTCGTGGAACTTTCCTTCTGCACTGTGGATACAGGCCATGTTTACACGTTTCCTTCTGCAGGCCTGTAAATCTCCTGTGCAGAAAAACAGATCTCATTTTGTTACTTATAGCACCTGGGATGATATTTAGCGCATAATTGTGTTCAATAAAAGTTAGTTGGGAAAATATGAAATGAAGTAGGAGAAGAGCTCATTCTCTGCAGGACTAAGCAGATATGTCTTTCCTGCCCCAAGAGAGGAATATATTTGCAAAACTACTTCCACATGAATTAATCATTCATGATTCATAGTTTATGTAGATCTTCCCAGATGGATCAAATCAGATCAAAGTCTCATTTGTTTCAATCTAGCAGGGCACACCAGTATGCTACAACCGAAGGAAAGGCAAATGCTCTTGAAGAAACATATAAAAGGTGCAATTTTAAAAATGTGCCTTCTAAATGTGGCACATATACACCATGGAATACTATGTGGCCACAAAAAAGGATGAGTTCATGTCCTTTGCTGGGACATGGATAAAACTGGAAACTATCATTCTCAGCAAACTGACACGAGAACAGAAAACCAAATACCGCATATTCTTACTCATTAGTGGGTGTTGAACAATGAGAACACAAGGACACGGGGAGGGGAACATCACACACCAGGGCCTGGGAGTGGGGGGCTGGGGAGGAATAGCAGAGGGTGTGGGGATTGAGGAGGGTCAGCATTAGGAGAAATACCTAATGTAGATGACGGGGCGATGGATGTGGTAAACCACCACTGTGGCACGTGTATACCTATGTAACAAACCTGCACGATCTGCACGTGTACCCCAGAGCTTAAAGTATAAAAAATAAATTTGTTTAAATGTGCCTTCTCCTCTTTCTCACCCCTCCCTCTTTCCTTCTCCTGGTCCCAGCTCATTCCACCCAACAAGTTGACTTTCTACCAAACAATCTGTCCGTTGAAAAGCGGCAGGATTTCTATATTTACTTGGGAATCTACAAACTATATAAAGCCCTTTATTTTGATGGCTAGCAAGGCATTTGCTGATTCTTTAATGCGTGATTGCCATTTCTCTGCAGGTATTCTTTTCTCTGCTTGGAGTAACCTCCTTCAGAACTCCAGCATCTTATCCTTGTGTCATGCAGAGCACCTTGTAGAGTGACTGCGAAGTCCATAGATGGGTAAATTGCATTCATCAATTTTAAATGTCACTGTGATGTATCTTTTCAATATGTGTAATAATGTATAAAATACATGTGGAATCTAGTTATGGTCAAGTTGACAGTCTCTCATGGGGACAATTGAAGTATTAAAAGCTATAAATATATATTTGGTAATCTTCTCTTTTGCTTTTGTGTATTTTGGTAATTTCTCTTAGAATTTTCTTTGTAACTGCTCTAGTCTCTTATCATTATATGAATGTTATATATTTATTTTTATGTTTTTTTTTTCCATGATAAACTCAGTTAAAACACAAAGGAATCAGGGCAAAAGCAAGACAAAACTTTTTCTGTTGAATTGCAAATAAGTAGATAATGTAAACCCAGACAAAAATGCACCTTCTTCTTTCTGCATTGTGGCTTCCTGTCTCTGGGTCCCCGGCTCCTGTGTGGCCACGTCGCCTTCAATCCCATGCTTCCTGTGAATCTGAGCCTCTCCAGTTCTCCGTCAGCCTGGCCCTCAAACTCTGGGACTCTTCAAGGTTAGGGTTCACCTGGATCCCACATTCTAGGAGCTGAAGTTTCTTCGCATTTCACTAACTGAGCCCAGCAGCACTCTGCCCCCTTCTCATTCCTGTTTTCCGTGCCCCCGATTATGCTGGGCCTCTCAGAGGCTTCAGGTAGATTTTTCTATTAGACTGTGAGGCTGTGGCCATCTGCACGTAGAATACAGGAAAGCTCTTGTGGTGATTACAGTCATGAAAATCTTTGTCCCAGCATATAGGCTGCAGAATAATTCGACCTGGGGGTGAGATTTGACTCCATTTAATTGGACATTAAATGAAACACGTAGCATACTTTTATTTGGTATTTAAATCATATCTCAGAGAAAATACTCTATGTGCTGGTCACAGTGGCTCATGCCTGTAATGGCACTTTGGGAGGCCAAGGCAGGCAGATCCCTTGAGGTCAGGAGTTTGAGACCAGCCTGGCCAAAAGGTGAAACCCTGTCTCTGCTAAAGATATAATACAATACAATACTTGTAATCCCAGCTACTCAGGAGGCTGAGGCAGGAGGATTGCTTAAACTTGTGAACCAATATCTTGCCACTGCATTCCAGCCTGGGCAATAGAGCAAGACTCAGAAAAGAAAGAAACAAACAAACAAACAAAAGATAGAAAGAAAGAAAGAGAGAGAGAGGAAGGAAGAAAGGAAGGAAGGAAGGCAGAAAGAAAGAAAGAAGAAAGAGGAAAGAGAAAGAAGAAAGAAAGAAAGAAAGAAAGAAAGAAAGAGAGAGAGAGAGAAAGAAAAGAAAGAGGAAGGGGGGAGGAGGGGGAGAGAGGGAGGGAGGGGGGATAGAGGGAGGGAGGGAGGGAGGGAGCGAGGGAGGGAGAGAGGAAAGAAAATGATGTATGTTCACAATGTTTTTGTCTGACTTTGAATGTGTAGTATTATAATTCTATCATAAACAGTTACCCAAGAACTTACATGAAACTTAGGAAGCAATTTCCCCATAGAAACATAAACTTATTTGCAAATTAACCTTTAACATCCACCAGTTTGTACACCGGAAACTGATTTTACACAACTTTGACTCTGACCTGCAGGTCAAAAGTGACATCATCTCCTCCTGAAGGCAAATCCACACGGGGCCCCAGGAGCTGAGCCGCTGCTTTTCCAGATGACGCATTTCCTCACCGGCGTCCATCAATCCTTTCCGTGGCCACCACACTCTGCATTCATTACCACGTCCTTTGCCAAGCCTGTGTTGGGTTCTATTCGTGGCTCAGCCCAAACTCTAGACTAAACTGAGTCATCCTGCTCTACACTGACCTGGGATAGTCAAGACCAACTACGTGGAGTCCATATTTGGCGATTCCATGATATTAGAGACGGAAGATTTGGCCAGGGAAGAAGAACAAGCCATTTGGGCAGCATTCTTTCCTTTCCTTCCCTGAGGAATTCTTTTTTTTTTTTTTTTGAAACGGAGTTTCGCTCTTGTTACCCGGGCTGGAGTGCAATGGCGCGATCTCAGCTCACCACAACCTCCGCCTCCTGAGATCAGGCAATTCTCCTGCCTCAGCCTCCTGAGTAGCAGGGATTACAGGCACACGCCACCATGCCCAGCTAATTTTTTGTATTTTTAGTGGAGACAGGGTTTCACCGTGTTGACCAGGATGGTCTCGATCTCTTGGCCGTGTGATCCACCCGCCTCGGCTCCCTGAGGAATTCTTATCAACGTGAGGTCATTAATACCTGCAAGACCAAGAATAGAATAGGGGTCTAGGAGGAGGTGCCAAGCAGGCAGGAAAAAGCGTTGGAAATGTTGACGCCAACCCACATAGCTCATCAAGGAAGCACTGTTGGGTTTGAGCCCAAAGCTCTCAGCAGAAATAAAAAGAAACTGGCTGGGCATAGTGGCTCATGCCTATAATCCCAGCACTTGGGGAGGCTGAGGTGGGCAGGTTGCCTAAAGTCAGGGATTTGAGACAAGCCTGGCAAACATGGTGAAACCCCGTCTACACTAAAAATAAAATAAAGTTAGCTGGGCATAGCGGCGCACACTTATAGTCCCAACCATTCAGGAGGCTGAGGCAGGAGAATCGCTTGAACCCGGGAGGCAAAGTTGCAGTGACCAGAGATTGTGCCACTGCACTCCAGCCTGGGTGACAGAGTAAGTCATGTCTCAATGAAATAAACAAACAAATAAATAAATAGAAAGAAACCATTTCTGAAGTGGCCTCTCTCCATGTATCCCTCAAGAACCCACAGCAACTGGTCAAGTTGGGGATTCTTCATCCAAGGCCACTCTCTCAGCTTCTTGTCCTCTGCTTTAGATAAGACTAAAACATCACAGCATGGCAGCACTCCTTGGAAAATTCTTGATAAATATATAGGAATGTGCAGGGTCGGGCAGCCATGGTCTGGGCATCCCAAGTCCACGCCATGAAATAGTTCAGAATTCCCACTCCAAGACTGTCCCACAAACGCACAGCAGAACAAAGATGAACACTGAGTTTCCATGACTGTTATAAGCAACAGCCAGCCGAGGGATGTGGCTGCTTCCCTCTTCCCTACAGTACAAGGGGCAGCATCCCTCAGCCTTAGACATCAGCCCGTTATCCCCGACAGCCCAGCACGAGAGCTCCACCTCGGCAGGTGCACAGGTGACCCACAGGTCAGCCAGCGACCACCCACCCTGGACAGATAAATGTCCTAAAATGGGTGGGGATTGATAGGAAAGCTGGAAATCATCTCTTCCTGAGGTCCAGGAACTCTGCAGGGCCGTCCTTTCTACCAGGCAGAGAAAGCATGCCTGAAGATGAAGCCAGAGTTATGAAAAGCAGAAATGCAGAGACACACTGAGAAACAGAGTTTTAGTAATATTATGGAGCTCCTGGGTCTGGCAGTACCTGAGGACAGCCCATTCCTGGGGCTTCTACCTTACCTGAGCCGCTTTGGTTTATTCTAACATGATGACCAGGAACAGCCACTCACACCTTTAAGCCCAGCACTTTGGGAGGCCCACGTGGGCAGAGCACTTGAGGTCAGGAGTTCGAGACCAATCTGGTCAACATGGCAGAACCCTATCTCTATTAAAAACAAATCACAAAAAAATAAAATAAAATTAGCTGGGCATGGTCGTGCATGCCTGTAGTCCCAGCTATTCAGAAAGCTGAGGAGGCGAAGGTTTCAGTGAGCCAAGATCATGCCACTGCCCTCCAGCCTGGATGACAGACTCCATCTCAGAAAAAAAAAAAAAAAAAAAAAACCCTGCATTTTTGCTGCTTATCACTCTAAGATTCCTGACTACTGCTCTGCGATTTTTTGAAACAGCATGTTGTAGAAATCACATAAAAACAACAACTTCAGGCTATATTCACAAAGGGTCAATATCACTCATGCAAAGTGCCTCTTAACCATTTATCACTTCTAAACTTCATAACAGAAAATTAATACTCTACTTTTGAAAGAACCTTTAGTTCTTGCAAGGGTCTTCTAATTAAATCCTTATGCAATTTAATTGAAATATCAGAAACACATTGATTTATCAAGTGATTATTTCAATGTGCATTTTTATAGCACATTAATTTTTTTAATCACACTGATACACTGGGTAGTTTTCTCTTTAAGCAAAAATGGCAGGAGAGATGTCTGCCCTTACAGGAGGAGATTGCCACATTGGCCATCAGTTCTAGGCGGCGTCAATTCTCACAGACCCCATGACTTAGAGGATATTAATTGGGTGCCTGGTTCAAGGGTGGTTTCATTCACGTACGGAGAGGGGGAAGGTTACTCAGAGAAAAGAACATTTCTTTTTTTTTTTTCTTTTTAGATGAAGTTTCGCTCTTGTCACCCAGGCCGGAGTACAACTGTGTGATCCTGGCTCACTGCAACCTCTGCCTCCTGGGTTCAAGTGATTCTCCTGCCTCGGCCTCCTGAGTAGCTGGGATTACAGGCATCTGCCACCATGCCGGGCTAATTTTTGTATTTTTTAGTACAAACAGGGTTTTACCATGTTGGTCAGGCTGGTCTCGAACTCCTGACCTCAGGTGATCCATTCACCTCGGCCTTCCAAAATGCTGAGACTAAAGGCATGAGCCACCACGTCCAGCCAGGAAGGAACATTTCCAGCCTATCAGGAGTGTATCCTTTTCTAGAACAACACCAGAAGATCATAGTAACTTGGAGGCTGCTGGGAAGCATCCTTTCTATAGGGAGGGGTTAATGGACAAGGGTGAAACGTGTCTCGTGATGCAGCCAAAGCAATGGGGATGTGCAGGCACAAAGCACAGGGCCTGTGTCTGTCAGGTGAGTGAAGAAAAGGAAGATCTAATCTAGGTGAGAGAGAAAGAAAGAGGGAGTAAATATTTGGCACTGCTATTTAAAAATAAAATTTAAAAGAAGCTAGAATCAGTGACTCACGCTTGTAATCCCAGCATTTTCAGAGGCCAAGCCAGGTGGATCACTTGAGGTCCGGAGTTTGAGACCAGACTGGCCACCAGGGTGAAACCTTGTTTCTACTGAAAACACAAAACTTAGCTGGGCATGGTGGTGGGTGCCTGTAGTTCCAGCTATTCAGGAGGCTGAGCCAGGAGAATAACTTGAACCCAGGAGGTGGAGGTTGCAGTGAGCTGAGATTGTGCCACTGCATTCCAGCTTGGGTGACAAAGAGAGACTCTGTCTCAAAAAAAAAAAAAAAAAAAACCACACACACACACAGAAAAGAAAACATAAGTAAATTAAAAATGATTAAAAGTAGATTTCCTCTATGAACTTACTTGAATCATTTTGTCCATCAAGGCACAATTCAATTACCCCAACAAACAATTCAGCACACATTACTACAGCTATAACCCAAATGTCAAAGGGGAAAGTTGGATTGAGGGAGAAACGTTTCTGTGTAAAATAGTTGATGTGTACAACGGACTTTCCAACACTGAGAAAGAAGAGGAGAGGAAGAGAACTTACGATGACCACATTTTCTTTTACCTATAATCTCAAATAACATTTGAAAAACAATTTTAGTAATTTTTCTTTAAGATAAAGTAAACTACTGCTAAATGCAATCCTGTTTCAGCGGGTGTAAGCTTCACTCTATAAACAGACTTCATTGTTCTATATTCTGCACTCCGAAATTCCTGTACTTGGTGATGAGAAGCCATCAGTGAAATTTGCTTGCAGCTAAATGGAAGCCCTCAATCAGCTTCTGACTGTGCTAGTTAGTCTATTGTAAGACGGTATTTCTTTTTAATATTATATATATATGCTCTTGCAGACGTAGGTCTTAAAAGTTTGAGAAGTGTGTGATTTATACACAGTCTTTCAAAACATAAACTTGAATAGCACTTATTTCTGATTTACAAATGTTTTGTTTTCTCCCAACACTTTAGCAGTAGAACAGAGCTACAGATCATTCCCAGGCATTTTTATTTTCATTTACGTATACAGTTGTAGGTAACCCCATTTATTTAGAAAGTGGCTGTGTTGTATTTATACAGAGCAAATTTGGAAGCAGGATTACTATGAATGCAAATTGCATGTGCTTTGTGTAGCTCCACTCTGGCATCCTAATAATAGCTGAGTTTCTGAAGCTTAGGTATATTCTTGGAGTGACCCAATTCACTCAATCACTTCCCAGATACAATGAGAGGCTACTTTAGGGTCCAGGACCCTGGCGGATTGGAAGCTTTTGTCCATATTTCAGAATATCTTTGTTCCAATAACAATAGGTGACATCCTGCATAATACAGGACCATTTGCACAACTGCCTGACAAAACTTCCTGTTTAGAATGAGGCAAAGGGATTTCTGAAAAGCCTGGATAGGTTAGTGAGAAAGGAAGCCAGACAATGCTGGGATTTCCAGGATTTTCTCTCCTTGAAGATGCAGCCAAATGTGCAGAGGCTGGAGAAATAGCGTTCTTTCAAAGGGGCAGCCAAAACCCATTGTTGGGACTGAGTTTACACCTCTGTGAGCTAACCATAGTGACTCAGAAGACAGAAATGCTTGTAACTCATCTGGTGGATCCAGGCACTCTTTATAGCTCACCGAGCATCCTGCTTATCTTCTTCAAATTTGAAGGTGGGCACTGAGTTGGTCCTTTTCCAAAGACCATCATGTATGAAAATAAAACTAGTTTTCCTCAAATTCTTGAAAATGTGTTTTTGCAGTTTAATTTAATTTTGGTGTTTAAAATCTGTCAAATTAAAAACACAAAGCAATGTATCTTCTTAACAAAGTATCACTAAACAACAAAGTTGAAGGCATCACAATTGTTGATTTAAAATTCTGTTACAAGTTTGGGAGCTGTGGTGAATGGTTGTAATCCCAGCACTTTAGGAGGCCAATGGTAGTAAGATTGTTTGAGTTCAGGAGTTCAAGACCAGCCTGGGCAACATGGTGAAATGACACCTCTACCAAAAAAAATAATAATAATAATTAGCTGGGTGGTGTATGTTCCTGTGGTCCCAGCTACTTGGGAGGCTGAGGTGAAAGACTGCTTTACTGCTTGAACCCAGGATGTGGAGGTTGCAGACCACCATTGCACTCCAGCCTGGGCAACAGAGCAAGACCCTGTCTCAAAAAAATAAAATAAAATAATGTTACAAAACAATAGTAATCAAACAGTATGGCACTGACATAAAAACAGACACATAGCCGAGTGAACAAAGAGGAGAGCCCAGAAATAAATCCAAATATATGTGGTCAACTAATTTTTGACAAAGACACCAAAAAAACACAATGGGAAAGGGTGGTGTCTTCAATAAATGGTCCTGGAAAAACTGAATCTCTAAATGCAAAACAATGAAATTGTACTCTTATCTTACACCATAAACAAAATAAATTTGAAATGAGTAAAATACCTAAATATATGACTAGAATCATAAAATTTCCAGGAAATAACACAGGGAAATCTTCTTGACATTGGCCCTGGAAATGATTTTTAAATATCACACAAAGCTCAGGCTAAAAAGCAAAAATAAATAAATGGGACCACCTTAAACTGAAACTCTTCTGCACAGCAAAGAAAGGATTCATCAAAATGAAAGGACAACCTACACACTGAAAAAAATTTGCAAATTACATATTTGATAAAGGATTAATATCCAGAATTTATCAAGAATTCCTGTAATTGAATAGCAGAAAAACAAATAACCCAACTTAGAAACAGGCAAGGGAGCTGAATCAATGTTTCTTCAACAAAGACTTAAGAGTGGCCAACCCTTAAGTGAAAGGGTGCAAAACATCACTAATCATCAAGGAAATGCAAATTAAAACCACTATGAGACGGCCATTATGAAAAAGCAAGACTAATGTTGGCAAGGGTGTGGAGAAGAGAGAACCCTATTACACTTTTGGTGGGAATGTAGATTGGTACAACCACTGTGGAAAATAGTATGGAGGTGCCTAAAAAACTGAAGAATAGAACTAAAATATGAACAACAGTTTGTCTTCTGGGAATACACCCACAGCAGACGGGAACTCATCACTTCATAAAGACATCCACAGTCCCCTATCCACTGCAGCACTATTCACAATGGCCAAGATATGAAATCCACCAAAGTGTCTATCAATGGACAAATGGAAAAAGAAAATGTGGTATAAATATATATTCAATGGAATATTATTTACTCTTAAAAAATAAGGATATCCTGTCATTTGCTACAGCATGAGCGAACCTGAAGAGCATTATGCTAAGTGAGGTCAGCCAAACACGTAAAGAAAAAAATGTGTAATCTCACTTATATATGGAATATAAGGGAAAAAAATACATAGAGAGCAAAATTGAGATGACCCTGGGCTGGGTGGGGTTGGGAGAGGAAGTGGTAAAATGTGGGTCAAAGAATACAAAACAGCAGATATGTAGAATGAACAAGGAGTCCAGATATCCAGTGTACAGCATGAAGACCAAAGCTAATGAGATTGGACCGTATCAGTTTTTCTGAAATAAGTAGATTTTAGCTGCTCTCATCACACAGGAAAAGTAACTATGTGAGATGACAGATGTGCTAATCTGCTTTGCTGTGGTAACCATTTTGCTACCTATATCTGTCTGTGATATCATGATGTAAGCCTCAGATACATGCAATAAAATTTACTTTTTGAGAAAGTCCTTTACCCACTAAAAATAAACAACAAGAAAGTATCACGAGAGAGTAATGCATATTTCTGGTATTTGCTCAAGGGACCTATGGAGAGATCTGGCAAACACACCAATCCCTCAGCCTTCCAAGTGCCTAGCAAGCATTTATCTAACAGAGAGGCTCTGCACGGGGAGCCTCAGGTCTAAGCGTGGGCTGCACGTGGTCTCACGTCTCTGCTCTTCCCTTGCTGTGCAGCCATGAGATAGTGAACAAGTTGCTTCTCTTCACCAAGCCTCTGCTTTCTCACTGGTAGGACAGAGATAACAGACAAAAAGGCCCCAGATAATATTTTCCAGAGGGGAAAAAAAGATAGAAGGGGTAACAGCAGCTGAGAGCACCTAGAAAAAAACAGCATTTCCCAGCTGTGGCTCCCTCCAGTGAAGACCCTGAACTCAGAGCAAGCACTGTGAAGTCCCAGGCGAGGGAGACCAACTCAGGAGGGCCCTCTGCCCGCCCTGTCAGACCCACTCACAGTCTCTGCGGCGCATCTGCCCGCTGAGCAGTTGCTGTCTGAAACTCCTGCTCCAGATCCTCACCTTCAGCTAACAAATCAGAAAGATGAACACCCACAGCCAACACAGAAAAGATCACAGAGATCCCTACCCAGGTCTGTCTTCTTGCTCAAAGAATGGTCGAGCGTTCAGGACAAGTGGCGACCTGCTGTAGCTTATCTCCTTCAATCCCAAATAGTTCTCATAGTTGGCTGAGAGAGGAGAGACCGACTGCCCATAATACCGCCTGCTTCCTCCTCTCCCCTCCAATGTTTCTCCTTGACAACCCCACACGAAGAGTAAACAGACGGGAAGGCAAAGGTGAGCTACAGGGTTTTGTGCAACAAAGCAGGTCAAGTGAGGAACAGCTACTCCCCAGCAAAACACAGAGGATCCGATTCAAGAGTTCATGGTGAATGTAGGCACTCAGGTTGAGCTGGCATACACTGAACATAACCATGCCCGATTTCAAGACTGAGATAGGAGAAAAAAAAGACTTGGATGGATACAGTGGTCATTTTTACAGCCTCTTGAGCTAGTCGATATTCACTTCAACTGCCTGAGGTTTGCAGTAACTTGCTTTGGGTTCTGAAAGACACAGTGGGTCACTGTCACCTTTGGGCATCTCTCCCCCTGCAGATAAAACAGCGGCACATGGAGGGCATGGGACAGAACCCCATCCACAAGGGAGGAATTATCTCTTACAGGCAATCTGTGAGCATCACTGAAAAATGCTCTTCTGTGATCAAATTATGAATGCTTTCACATCAAACAACAATGTCTTGTCTAAACCCTGGGCGAATATTGGATGTCATTTTTTTTTCTGGTCGGCATTTTGATATAACTATGCAATAATCTCCAAATAATTCCATGTTTACATACACCAGGTGACACGCGGCATATGTGAAATTATGGCATTTAGTGGAGAATATTAGAGGCATTAATGCATAATGAAAGCTGAATATTGAAGAATAATTTTTATCCTGCAGTTTTATAAGTAGTTGACAAAAAGCTGACAGGAGAAATTCTTCCAGTCATGGAAATACTCTCAGATTTAATTCTCTCGTAACAATTCTCCTATTATGCATAAAGTCGAAGACAGAAGCCATCTCACTGGGCTGTTAAGTAAGGGAAAGCATAAATGCAAAGCCATCGCAATCAACGCTGTTGAAAATCATTCTGTGGATTAAAAAAGTAGTAATTCTATATGAAGATACATTGAATTATGATTTTAGATCAAGTTGATATTTCAAGGAAAGACTGACTAGCATTTTGAACAAAAAGAATATGACACGTGGTATAGTGTATGTCTACCCTTTGTCTAAGGAGGCAAAATAGATTTGAGCAATTATTTAATTGAATCTACTTAAGTTCATTGATTATTTACACCTAAAATAACTGCTTGCTAAATATCAGGCTTTCTGTCTTGAAATTATCCAGATCATTGCCTCAGATCTGGATAATTTTTTGCTATTAATACATGCCTAAATAAATATACCTAATTAAGCAAACAAATGCAAATTTGGTTCATTAATCCCTTCATCAACAAGGTCATTTGTTAAACACCTATTTTGTGCTAGCCATGAAAGGAAGTTTGTGGTAATGAGCCTTTCTCCTGATAAAAATTCAAGATTCTGGAAGAGTCACACCATGCTTTCTGCAGCCTGGCCACACCACGTCACCCTTTTTTTTTTTTAAGATGGAGTCTGACTCTGTCACCCATGCTGGAGTGTAATGGTGCGGTCTCAGCTCACTGCAGCCTCCATCTCCCTCCTGAGTAGCTGGGACTACAGGAGCATGCCACTTTGCCTGGCCAATTTTTGTATTTTTTGTAGAGATGGGGTTTCACCACATTGGCTAGGCTAGTCTTGAACTCCTGACTTCAAGTGACCTGCCTGCTTCGGCCTCCCAAAGTGCTGGGATCACAGGTGTGAGCCAACACGCCTGAGCCCACATCACTCTTTAAGCCTCGCTTCCTCTGCCCAATTAGACAGCCCACCTCTGCCCACACAGCACACCTTGTCTCATCTTCTACACTCATTTGGTCCATTACATTTTCAGGTGCAATTTCTGCTTCACAGGCAGCAACACATGCTAAAATCCTAGACACAGAGGGAATACCAGCTCCTTCATGAGTTCTTCCCTGATGTGGGTCATCCACCATTAACTGTTTAGAGAAGCTTAAAAGAACTATGTGTGTCCATATGTGCTAAAATGGAAATGCCTGAGGTACACAACATTTAAAGGAAATTGGCAGAAGCACATGCAGGTGACTCTCCACAGTCCCTGCCCAGCCCCATTCTCTGCCTGCTTGGCCCTGGAAGGTGACTGCTGATTGAGTTTGGCTGAGGGAAGATGGCAGAGATTTCTGGAAGGGAGGAGGGACTTCAGGTTGTCCTCCCCTGTGCCCTCCTTGCTTGGGTACCACCTCACAGTGATAACGGGATTCCTCCTGGGTTCACTGATCCTGCTGGCCTTTCTCAGGATACTGTCCATTGCGGCTCCTTCACTAACTCACGTCTTTACGTTGGCCTCAGTCCTGGGGTGCAGTCGCTCCCCGCTCGCTGGTCTCTGGGGTCTCACTATGTCTTTATCATATTCACCAGCAGGAGACACTGGAACTAGGTCTAATTTATTGAGATTTTTTAAAGTAGTTTAAATGGTAGCTCATGATTTTTATTTGTTCTTAGAGGTCTTCCAAAAGGCAAGGACAAAGAATACATGTTTTTCATCAGCTGTGGTGGCTCATGGCTGTGAGCATCATTTGATGCCTCAAAAGGCAGGTGCATCATTTGAGTCTAGGAGTTCAAGACCAGCCTGCGCAGCACAGTGAAACCCTGTTTCTATAACTCATTTAAAAATGAGCCAGGTATGGCGGCACTCACCAGTGGTCCCAGCTACTCAGGAGGTGGAGGTGAAAAGATTCCTTAAGCCCAGTGGTCAAGGCTGCAGTGAGCTGTGATTGTGCCACTGCACTCCAGCCTAGGCAACAGACTGAGAACCTGTTACAAAAAAAAAATTACCAATTTTGTAACAGAATAAAAACATTTAATCTTTTCATTGTCATATAAGTACACTCAGCCTCCCAAAGTGCTGGATTCTGTTAGAAAATCAAGATACAGGGCAGGGTGCAGTGGCTCACACCTGTAATCCCAGCATTTTGGGAGGCCGAGGCGAGTGGATCACGAGGTCAAGAGATCGAGACCATCCTGGTCAACATGGTGAAACCCCGTCTCTACTAAAAATACAAAAAATAATAATAATAATAATAATTAGCTGGGCATAGTGGTGTGTGCCTGTAATCCCAGCTACTCAGGAGGCTGAGGCAGGAGAATGGCCTGAACCCAGGAGGCAGAGGTTTCAGTGAGCCGAGATCGCACCATTGCACTCCAGCCTGGGTGACAAGAGCAAAACTCCGTCTCAAAAAAAAAAAGAAAGAAAGAAAGAAAAAAAGAAGAAAGAAAAAAGAAAGAAAGACAGAGAGAGAAAGAAAGAAAGAGAGAAAGAAAATCAAGATACATTATGTCTTGCTTTTCCCCATCTTAAAATGTTTCTTTTTTTTTCTTTTCTTTTCTTTTTCTGAGACAGAATTTCGCTCTTGTTACCAGGCTGGAGTGCAATGGCGTGATCTCGGCTCACCGCAACCTCCACCACCTGGGTTCAGGCAATTCTCCTGCCTCAGCCTCCCAAGTAGCTTGGATTACAGGCACGTGCCACCATGCCCAGCTAAGTTTTTGTATTTTTAGTAGAGGTTGGGTTTCACCTTGTTGACCAGGATGATCTCGATCTCTTGACCTCGTGATCCACCCGCCTCGGCCTCCCAAAGTGCTGGGATAAAATGTTTCATTTTTTTTTTCAGTCTGAGGGATTATATCATCATCAGTCATCCCTACTCAGTGATTATTCCCAATAATGCTAAAAAAGGCTATATGGAAGGCCCTAGAGGTGATGCAGCTGTGAAACAAGAAATAGTTTCCAGTCTTCTTACTCCGTTTTCCAAAGATTGCACAGTCTTCCGAGAAGATTCAGAAAAAGACTGGCACCAGCATCTTTTTAAAATGTCATAGTTCTCATTGATCAGCACTGAGAAATCAGAACTTTTAATTTTCTATTTTGTATTAATGACAAAGCAGAAAACTGACAGAGGAAAACCATCCACACATATTAATCAGAAGATGGATGCAAAGAGGCAGAGATGAGTTCTCTGGTCTCGGATGAAGTAAGAATGGATGTGAAAGTGAAATCGCAGACGGTAACTTTTCAGACCACGACGCTCTAGATGAATTTTCTTAAGCCCAAGAATCCTTGATTGATGTTAGCAGGGGCTGAGGAAAGAAGGAGGAGGAAATTTGGGGGGTGATGGAAGTGTTCTATAAGTTGATTATTAATGTTTATTATTCTACCTATACCATTGAAAACAATTATATTCATGAAATGGTTGAAGTTTGTTATATGTGGTTTGTCTCAATAAGACTAAAGTAATTGATTACCGATCACTGTATAACAAATGGTAGCAGAACATACTGGCTTAGAAACACATACATTCATGACCTCAGTTTCTTTGGGTCTGAGATCCAGCATGGCTCAGCCAGAACCTTCTATATAGGCTGCAGCCAGCGGCGGCTGGGCTGTGGTCACCACTTAGCTCAGCCAGGAAGGGGTCACTTCCAAGCCACGGGGTTGTTGGCCGGGCGCAGCTGCTCATAGGTGGTTGATTGGAGGCTGCCCTCAGGTCCCTGCCTGTCCTCTCCATGGGGGCTTTCTCCACCATCGCACCTTGCTTCATGAAGCACCAGCTCAGGAAGGCCATGATGCCTGCTACCTGGGCCCTCATGTTTTGAAACCTAACAATTGAAATGAGACCCTCACCTCTGCTGAGTTCTGCCGGGGAGAACCAAGTCACTAAGTCCCACCCACTCTCCAGAGGCTGGGGCACCCAAGGGTGCTGTGAATACCAGGGGACGGGTGTTATCGGCAGCTGTTTAGAAGTCTGCCCGCCACAAATAGGTCTCTAGGACCACCAGGAACCTCTTCTCTAATTAAAACGTTACGTTTCATTATGCCTTTATTCTTACACCTATAAATTACCTACAGAAAAACTTAAAAATAGTAGCAGGGCACGGAGGCTCACACCTGTAATTCTAGCACTTTGGGAGACTGAGGTGGGCAGGTCACCTGAGGTCAGGAGTTGGAGACCAGCCTGACCAACATGGAGAAACCCCACCTCTACTAAAAATACAAAATTAGCTAGGCACCAT